AAAAAAAAAAAAAAAAAAAAAGTAGGGAAACTCTTATATCTCTCTGGGTATTTTTTTTTCCCTCATACATAAAATCAATAAAATCTGTTCAAATCTGCTTCACATGATTGTGGGAAAAAAGGAATTATGTATGTAATGAATTGAAAGCTGACAAGGACTAAATAAAATTGAAGAATTTTTATTATTTTAAGCCTAACTTCAAATGTAGCGGTTAATCTTTTTTTTCCTAAAAATCAACATCCCAAGAAATTACTTAGATGTTTAGAGTGTAAGTTTAAAATAATATCCCAAACAGAATCCTATTTAAAATAATGCACTGGGCTTGGTGCCCGTAGCTCAAGCAGCTAAGACGCTAGCCACATACATCAGAGCTGGCAGGTTCGCATTCAGCCCAGAGCCTTCCAAACAACTACAACCCAAAAATAGCCAGGCATTGTGGCGGGCGCCTGTAGTCCCAGCTACTTGGAGGTTGCTGTGAGCTGTGATGCAACAGCACTCTACCCAGGGCAACAGCTTGAAGCTCTGTCTCAAAAAATAAAATAAAATAGTGCACTGGTCCCAAGAAAGGTGGTGGTGACAACAGTCCTCTTTCTTCCCTTTTCTAGCTAAACTTTGTTTTCTTACCAATTTGAGAACTCATGATTTACATTTAAAATAAATTTGGTAGAGCCATGCCTATAATCCCAGCACTTTGGAGGCCACGGTAGCAGGATTGCTTGAGGCCAGGAATGCAAGCAGCCTATACTTACAGGGCAATATCCTGTCTCTAACCATTTATAATATAAATGTATTGGTCCTTTAATGTAACAACCAAACTTTAAACTCTTCAGATTTCATCAAAAAAATAATGAAGCTACACAATTAGGTATTGTCTAACAAAGGATTCTGGTTTTACTTTAGATTATGACTCTCCCCTAAAATATCTACTTATTAATGCAGAGATTCATGTTGTTACTAGTTAATGGCCACACAGTCCAAGGTTCAAAAGACTTAAGTGGCAAAAAGCATCCCAACCCTATTACTCAGATACATAGCTCTCTTCTCATTCTTATCAGTTCTTACTATGTTTTTCCAGCTATTATCTGCACTTACAAGCAAATGCATTATTTTTTGCCTAGAAATTATTCCATAAGTGAAACACTAAAAAGGATCTTCATTCTTTTTTTTTTTTAGAGACAGAGTGTCACTTTGTCACCCTTGGTACAGTGCCGTGGCATCACAGCTCACAGCAACCTCCACCTCGTGGGCTCTTGCCTCAGCCTCCAAGTAACTAGGACCATAGGCCACAACACCTGACTATTTGGTTGTTGTTGTTGCAGTTTGTCCAGGGCCGGGTTGGAACCCGCCACCCTTGGTATGTGGGGCCGGTGCCCTACTCACTGAGCTACTGCCGCTGCCCCATCCATCCTCATTCTTTTTTAGAAACATAGTAACCCTATTTTGTTTTCTTTTATTAGCAAGGCCCATCACTTCAGCATATAGAGTACCCCTAGTGATAGATTTGTTTTTAGGTTGAATATAATCTCTTGCTATTCTAGCCAATGCTAACATGAGTAGCTTCATACAGACATCACTTTACATATTTCCAAACAAACAGGATAAATTCCTGCAAGTGGAATTTTAGAGCCAAAGGATTTAGAACATTTTTTTTTGAGACAGGAGCCTCCAGCTGTCCCCCTGGGTAGAGTGCCATGGCATCACAGCTCACAGCAACCTCCAACTCCTGGGCTCAAGCGAGTCTCCTGCCTCAGCCTCCCAAGTAGCTGG